CAGTAAAGGCACTCGAGTCAGTCTTCTGCTGGCATAGCCCAAGGAAGACAAATTTCGCCGCACCGTCCTATCGGACACGTCCCTCGTACGTCCCACATTGATTTCTGCGGTTATTTGACGCAGTGTTGCTTGTCTGTGAACCTTGAGACTCTATGCAGACGTCGCTGGTCTCGGTCGTTAAGTGCAGGTGATCAGCCACTGCGCTGTCCATGGCGGGATGTTATGCCTGAAATTAGATACTCTCGCCACACTCTTGACACTATGGACTGAACACAAATGAAAGCCCTGCCAAAGCACTTCGCATTTATACATTTTCTACGCGATACTACTGCCATCTGTATATTTGCATATTGCTATCCCATGACTTTTGTCACTTCAGTGTACATGTACGAAACTATGTCTTGCATAGGATTTGAAAATTCGTTTCCATAGATGAGCATCTTCGGAAGTGAAACGAAAACGTCTTCTCTAAGGCCACTAGATGCTCTACTATGAATTATTAGTCTGATCCCATATATGGTAGTATTTACATATGTACTATCTTTCACTTTCAATGCGTTATTTGTTTTCCTGATAAGTTTATTTGATTTTGTAAATTTGAAGTTTATTTCTCGAATAGTATTTGAACTGCGTTTAATTTCCCAGCCAGCTATATTCTTGTGCTTCTCATTTTCCCCTGGTTCTTAGGATTCCTTTCGGATCTTTGAAAGTACCTCTGTTTGATGCTTCGTATGGAGTAAAGGATTTCGTTTTCTTCTCCTCTCTTGAAACTCCTTTCTTAGAAAAATACACTTGCTTGGACTTACTTCAGAGCAACTGGTCTTTAGGGCATTATTTACCGGAGAAAGAAACGGATGTGCTGAAGCAAGTACTTGCATAACAACTAGCAAATGCCTAATGTGTACATCACTTTCCAAGATGCTTGTCATGTTGCATCACATTTAGCTACAGATACATGTGACCGAACCGTTGGAAAGATATGAAAAAAAGGCAACGTTTCACAAGAATTTATCATCACTTTTCCGTGAACAAGAAGCATAACCTAAATCATTTACAATGCTGTCTTTCTAGATCAACACAGGATATTGTCAAGTTATCTATGTGGTTCTCAGTAATGAATTTTACTTTGTTATGCCATCAGAAGATAACACAGTCAAAACGTGCATAAATCTGACAAAGCCAGCCTACACATGGAATATTCTTTAGTGTAGAACAAGGATGTCAAACTCGCGGCCCACAACAAATATTTTTGTGGCCCGGCCAATATATCGGCAAATAATAATATATAATAATAAAGTAACATATCGACGAAGAAAAAAATGAAATGTTTACTGCTAAGTAATTAACGATAATTTATTCAGTGTTGTTAGATTACTCACAGCGAGCTGACACACACACTACTTAAATTACAAATGCGTGTGAGTAGCTTGCGTTCAGCTACCTTCGGCTTTTGGGGGACACGTGCACTCAGAACTTGTACGCATCCCCCGATAGCCGAATGTGGCCGAACTCATGGTCTCAGTTTTCCAATCATAGTTTTGTAGTTTTGTACGATATATTGGTGCATGCATGTGCATGCACTTTGCTTTATTATTAATTATTACTTAATTCATATTGTTACGGATTTCATAGTTATTTATTTATTTAGTTTTTTTTTTATTTAGAATTGTAATTAGATTTGCTTCATGTTGCCTTAGCAACGCAGACGATTTTTGAAAAGACAGCTGCGTTGGAAGGTTAAATAGAACAGCGCGTGCATTTAATACCTAATAAATAAATATCTCGTAATTGCTGTTGCCATCCACAAAAATCCAGATATTTATAGATGTTTCCAGTATATTCGAGAAATTAATTATAAAGCTTATAAAAGCCGAGAACAAACAACTCATCTCAGTAGTAGCTGTAGTTCTAGAGAACTGTTTGTTTACTTAATGCTGTGATTGATTTGTAGCGATTTCGCTGTGAGATAGAATTAGTTTCTCTGTTTTGTCTGTTTTGAATTGATTTTTGCTAAACGTTTGACATTTTGTGATATTGTTAGAATATTTTTGAAGAAATATTTCAGCATTTTGATTTATCTCTTGTGGAAAGAATAAATTTTTGTTAACTTTTTAACGTTAACCGTGTTTATTCCAGCCCTTTGTATTCAGTATGTCTATATCAAAACCAAGTGGTAGTAAAATTAAACGAAAAATCGCTGACGAACATAGAATATTCCAAGTAAAATGGGAATTAGAATATTTTTGCTGTGAAATAAAAGATAAAATAATCTGCTTGATATGTAATAATACTATTAATGTACCAAAGTTATATAATATTAAACGTCATTACGAACAACACAAATCGAAATATAACAATTACGAAGGATTAATGAGAGAAGAAAAGTTGAAAGAGCTCAAGTTAGGAGTGAAAAAGCAACAGTCCATGTTTAGTAAAGTATTGCAAGAAAGTGAAGCGGCGGTACGGTACATGCAAGCTACGTCTTGTCCGAGTTGATAGCTAAACATTCGAAGCCTTTTACTGACGGTGATTTCATCAAGGAATGCCTAATGAAAGCTGGAGAAATTGTTTGTCCTGGAAATGTGAAGGCTTTTCAATCAATTTCATTGTCTCGAAATACAGTTGCGGAAAGAGTTACTGATTTAGCCGCGAATTTAAGTGATCAGATCAAAGCAAAATCATCTAGTTTCGAAAGTTTCTCCATTGCCTGTGACGAGAGCACGGACATTAGTGGCAAAGCTCAATTAGCAGTGTTTTTTCTTCGTTCTTGTGACAAGAATTTTAACATTTTTGAGGAATTACTGGAACTAATACCGATGCCTGGTACTACCACAGGAGAAGATATATTTACTTGTGTTTTTGGACTTCTGCAGAAATACAATCTACCTTTGGCAAAATTAAATTCTGTAGCTACAGATGGCGCTCCATCAATGACCGGGAAAAACAAGGGCTTCGTAGCATTACTAAGAAAAAAACTTAGTGAAATTCACGGTTCAAACATTCATCATATGCATTGTATTATACATCAAGAAGTTCTATGCACGAAAGTAATAAATATGGAGAATGTTTTGTCATATATAAAAAAAGTTATAAATTTTATAAGATCTCGAGGTTTAAATCAGCGTCAATTCACTGCTTTCTTAAGTGAGTTAGATAGTGAATATTCGGGTTTGTCCTACTATACCGAGGTACGTTGGTTATCTTGCTCCAAGATTCTCAAACAATTCTGGGATTTGAAAGAAGAAATATGTCAGTTTTTAAAAAAACGAAAAATCAAGACGTAAGTTTGTTTTACGATCCAATATGGATACAAGATTTATCTTTCTTGGTTGATATAACCAAACACTTAACCGATTTAAATTTATCGTTACAAGGAAAAGATCATATCATTACGAACATGTTTGACATAATTAAAGCATTCAAATGTCAACTAGTTCTTTGGGAAAAAAAAACAACTTAAAAATGAAGATTTGACGCACTTCCCGACGTGCAGCATGAACAAATCAAGTTTAGATGATACTTGTTCGTATCAAAAATACGCAGAAAAAAAAAATTGCAAATTTAACAACTGAATTTGAAACGAGGTTTAATGATTTTAGTTAGTTCCCTCGAAGACAATTTTTTTTTTTTTTTCTTCGATTTTCTCAATAAGTATTGACTCAGTACCCAGCCATATGCAAATAGAGGTGATCGAGATTCAATGCAACTCAAATTTGAAAGCAAAATTCATTGAAGTGGGCGTGCCTGAATTTTACAAATATTTACCAGCCAGGTTTGAAAATACTCGAAAATTCGCATATGAAATTATTTCTATGTTTGGTAGCACTTATCTGTGCGAGCAGTTATTTTCAGTCATGAAAGGTAATACATAAGTCTCCTATTAGAAACCGTATTAATGATGCTCACCTTGGGTCAGCGTTGAAAGTTATCACTGCAAAAAAAATTTCTCCCGAAATAGGAAAGATAATAGCAGAGAAGAGATGTCAAGTATCAGGACGTAAACATTAAATTTTTCTTGTTCTTTTCTATATAATATATATATATATGTTTATTATTGTATTATTATTCGAAATAAATCTACGTTTCTATGAAATATTGATTTTTTTTTTTTTTTTTTTTTTTTTTTTTTTCGGCCCGCCTAAAGTTAAACCTTGTTTGTTTGGCCGAAGTGTACCTATGAGTTTGATTCCCTGGTGTAGAACGTCACTGTCTTATGAACTGGTAGTGAGAGTTTAGGGAATTAATTCGTATCACAGTCACATGTTCTCAGTAATCCTCCGTTCCACTCTTACGGAAGAGCAGTAAGTAAACTATATTCAACACGATAAATTGTTTAGCTTTCCGTCAGTAGTTTTATAACCATTCATACTATTTTAAGTAGTTTTACTCAAATAAATGGGATTGCATTAATGTTTTACACTTGAGTTCTCAGTCTAAGTACCATATTTTATCGTTTTCAGGTAATTCCATCTGATTACATTTTTTTCTTTAGTTTATAGTTGATATTGTATTTTACACTTGATATTTTCTTAATATGCAATTCAGAAAGCGGAAAGTAACACAAAAATGAAAATTCAGAATGTTTAAAAACGTAACTAAATTTTGACATTTTTATCAATCCTTTAAAATGCACAAATTTCCACAAACATTGCAAACAAAAGCTTTTAGAAGTACATAAACTTTACATATGTATTTCTATATTCGATATACGCTTACTTTAAAAAAGAGCACAATTATTATCTTGTTCTCTGTGTTTCCCAAATCTAAAATATATTTCTGTCGTGAGCAATTATATTATCTCTAATAATTACTGTTATAAGACATATTTATATTGTTAAAAAGCTTTATGAAACTAAGCATCAATATTTCATCAGGCATCTTCAGTCAGTTTTGAAAAATTTCACTTGGAAGTTTTTTTTTTTTTTTTTGTTTTTTTTGTTTTTGTTTTGTTTTGGTTTTTGTTACAGCAACTTAAGACAATAATTCATTTGACAATTATTAGTAATAATTTAATAGACATATTTACCGACTCCAAAATGAAGACCATCAATAAAACCTTGAGTAGTAGTTAAAAGTCCAGGTGGGCAAATATGAGCAGTGTATGTTACGGCCGTAACCCACATCAGATGATAAGTAAAAATTTCCATAGCTTCATAAGGCATGACCCACCAAGGATTAACGAGATACGAACATCCTACACAACGTATTAAGTACACGAAAACTGCCAGGGACATTAAATTCGCATATCCAAACTTAGATACGAAACATTTTGAATAGTAAATGAATGGCAGACTTGAAAGAGATCCAACAGTAATGGTTAGGCCTAGCATGTAAGCCGGAGTTCCTAGCTCTTTTAAAAATAAGAATAAAAATGTTTCCAAGAATCCCCACGCTGTTCCTAACCAAAATAATGCTAAGAGGAAAAAAAGTACGGAAGGTAATTTTATCAGTTTCCAAGCATTCTTGAAAGTTTCGATGCAGCTTGGAGGCCTGTCTTCCATTTCGAAATCCACGAACCAGGCCGCTATAGTTGCTACGAATATCAAACCATTGTGAATATGAAATGCAGGAGCATAGCTGGTTACCCCACTTTCAGGACTGATTATGTCTATTAGTATTCCAGCAAGCGGTGAGAATATTGCCATGGCAAACATCGCCCAAAACCTATAGAAACAAGAAAACAAAAGTCTTTAAACAAATATGCAGCTAAATCTGAAGATATAAGAAATAAAATTATTAAGAAAACCTCTCGTCTATTTTTAGTGAAGTAGAGGTAGAATTATTCGCATGAACCTAAGTCCAGCATTTGGTTCCGAATTTGAGGATACACCTCTTTGAATTTAAATCCCGTTCTCTCAAACTACTCAAATTTACTTGAAAATAATGTCATACTTTCAAATTGTTTTTCTGAAACTACTCTCTCTTTCATTAGCAAAGTAATGGTTTGATGAAGACATAATGTAGTGTCTTTAACATGTACCTTCCATTAATATCCAATTCATGCTTTAAACGCAACGGAATGTCTATGCAATAATATGTCTAAAATCAGCTTTTAAAATCAAGTGTTAAATGGACGGAAAAACTGCTGATATTATTTCATCATAAATTATTCCCACGTGGATACTTATGCGCTTATTTTATAACGAAATCATTACTTAAGACATAAATTATGCATTTATTCTTTTAAGTTGCTTATAGCCGGGCATTCTAACAAAAATTTCTCCCAAGTGGCAAAAATTTATTATTCAAGAATATCAAATTCGCTTATTAAAAAGAGTAAACGTTTTAGGAAAGGTTTCTTTCTAGTTAATATAATTTTTCTTCCTGTTACTTATATTTAGACTGTTCACTACATGACAAAACGTATTATCCAGAAACTAGGTAACACATTCTTTGACACTGTTAACGCTCTAATTATAGATGAAAGGGTGTCTCGTACAACAAACCTCTGTAAAATGAATGCCCGCATGGGCCGAAAAATATCCCATTTAATGAACTCATGTCTCTTAAGAGTCATGTAGGATGCCGTCATATATTACTAATGCATTAAAATAAATTTATTTAATTTTTGTTTAGGTGAAGCATAAACACAGAAAATGTGTCCGCGCGTAAGCAAAGAGCATTCAAATAGGCAACGAAATATATTTCTTCGTAATATGTTACTACTGAAGAACTCCAGGAATGCTTTTCATTGAAGGCAAATATGGCGGAGTCAATAGGCAGGAAAGTCATTGAACACTGGCAAATTCAGTTTGGGGTTCGAATTTCCGTGAATGGTCTGATTGCAAGGACGTTTTCATGTTTTCCCTCATGTGTAACATGCATACGGCTAGTTCCTCTTAGAAAGTCTTCCATGAAAGTATCCATCCCCTTAGGAGGCAGATAGCCTTCATGTGCTTCGCCATAATTAAAAAAAAAAAGCCAATAAGTAGGAAAAGAGTAAAGATTCTAGACAGCCACAATCGTTAAGGACATCCTGATGAAAATGTTCAGGATATAGTTAGTCCTATAAAATAAAGTAACAAATCTTGTCAGTGATAATGATAGGCACTACTTCAAAGCCATCCTTAAAAGAGAAAAGCTAGTAGCTTTAGATGCCATCATAAAACTTGGACATTCGAAAAAACTCAACGGCAGTGCAAGAAATTTAGACATCGTTGAGTCTACAACAGGGGTTCTCAACCGAGGGAAAATTTCGCAGTTTCACTGAGTAAATGGGGTCAACTGTTTATTTAGCCATCTAGTATTTAGTTTTAGATTATAAATGTGAAAAAAAAACTTTTATTCAAGTTATAAGGTGCTTCTCCTAACTTCTTGGCATGCCTTCGTGCTGTGGTGGTCTGCACGCTGAGCGCGTATTCTAAAGGTCCGCGTTTTGATTCCCGACAAAGGCGGTTGCTCATTTTCCATCTCTCTGGCTTTTTCCAATTAACCTAATGTCTCTACAGTGGCCGCCCGAACTAAAAGGGTTGTGGATAATGGTTCTCCACACCCAGGATTTGGCGATTGGGTTCCTCAAAAACCCAAGATCTATCGTAATTGTTTCAAACAACTGTACTAAATACAACAACAACGAAAATAACATTTATCATAATTTACTAAATAATTTTGTATTTACGTATTGTACAAGATTTTGAATAAGAAAATAAAGTACTCACAGTCTAAACTTAAAGAAGTAGGAATTGTAATCTGTAAAGGCAATAAGTAGTTCTGTCTTAAGGTAATAGAGTTAATCGAAGGGGGCAATTAAGAACGGCATTATTTTGATAGATTACGTAAATTAATTTGAAATAATTGCATGTGCAACTCACCTCTGTTTTCCGAATTCGCCTGCCTTTACATCATTTTCAGTAAGAGCCACTGCAGAAGCATTCACAAGACCAAACGCAATATTTACGAAAACTTCGAATGCAATACGTAATGTAGCAAACAAACAAAATGTCAGATATAAATCTTCTCTCATGTCTTCAGAAGAAATAGCAGTTTTGTTGAATCCCTTGCATGTATTACTGCAGTTGGACGGCATAGTTGTCATAATCAAAGTTTTATTATATCCACATTCTCTGGAAACCAGACTATTCGTTATATTACTTATGGCATGTAAAGTGTTATTAATGGGCAATATTTCCGTATTACAGGTAAAGTACCATGATGGTATGTCCATTAAATTTTCTGTGCTGTTATTTGCTAAAATACATTTGCAACCTCTAGTGATATTTTCATCATTACATAAATCTTTTATTAATGATTGTTCTTGGTACTCAGCGTTTGATACGGCAGGAACGTACAACATTCCGATAGTCAATAAAAATACCATTATTAATGAAAACAAAAGAACGTTTCTGTATTTGCCCAGTTTATCAACGAAACGTCCTACAGCTGGAGGTATCAAAAACTGAGATATAGGTATCAAAGAATAAATTATTGTTGTTTCCTTTATAGTCAGTCCTAACTCTTTCATATGAACGGTGATGAACGGCGAAATACAGGAGAAAGCTGAAATAATTAAAATATTTTATTTATTATAGAAATAATTGAGCAACTGGAAAATTTTGTAAAATAAGGATACCTAATTTAGAAGTCAAACAACAAAAATCAGCGTTATATTTCCAAATTTTCATAAGACTCGTTACTATGCTTTTACCGAACCATTAGCCTCAGCTGTCAAAGTGCAAATGAAAGAGACAAGATATAGTGAAAAGATAAGATAAGAATGGCTGGACAGGAGTTAAGCTACTGGCACCATCTATTGATCAAACAACAAAACTAAAACATAATTTCCTTAAAGGCTGAAAGCAAGGATGGATTGGAATTAGGATCTTTAACTAGAACAAAAATTTGCAAATATAAGGCTGATTTTTTGTTGTTTGACTTCTAAATTAATATCTGTTCGGTGTGTTACTTTAACTTAAATTATAAAGATACTTATTAATGCTTTAAAAATATCTTTAAGACACAACAATTACAGAATAGTCATTAAACATAAAATACGAGGAAATTAAATTTCATTAAAAAAATATCTAATATGAACTATCATTTCTGCCCTCTTAGAATCTTTCCTTGCGTAATATACTATACAATGTAATGAACCAGATGTTCTGAGAAAACTTCTTTAAATGACTTGTTTAGGAATCCTCTAAAGTGGCATTTTCCGTCGTTAAGGATGTTCGAATCCCGCGAACGGGTTGGCTGCTTGGGCGTTTTCGTAGTTTTTCCCATGTGTAACGTGTATACGAGCCAGTTTCTCTTATAAAATCCTCCACGAAGACATCCCTCCCCTTAGGCAGATATCCCTAGTGGGCTTTGCCATAATTAAATAAACCAAACCAAACCGTCGCTAAGTTTGATTTCAATAATTACATAACTGCAACAAAGCCTTGATACTTTCAGGCTTCGTTTTACTTCCTTGTACGAAGTTAAGGAAGTATTGTTATGAGGAAAAATTCCGGGTATCATATTTCAACGAAAATATCCATTTGACCGGTATCAATGCAATTTAATGATGCTTAACGTGACAGGTGTACGTAAGGACAGAATAAAGGATTCTGTTTCTTCAAACGGATTTTAAAATGGATTTAAAATGGATTTAGAAGAGATTATTTCCATGACGTCTGTACGTACATACGTATGTATCTCTCATAATTCAAAAAAGAGTAGTTTCAGAATGTTGAAGTTTTTAATATAGGGCTCTATAACACTTAGTTGTGCACCTCCCTTTTTGGTTGCAATCAGCCGCACTTAAAGTATGCCTCTTTGTTACTTGGCTCGGTGAGCTTAGTATTTTTATTTTTATACGTTGGTAAATTGTGTATGTTTTGCTTTAAATATGATTGAATTACGTTGTTTTTGTCTTCAAGCTTTTTATGCCTTTGTTAATCTGCATGCAATAGTTGTAGAATTATCAACAGTTTAAAAGTTGTTTAAGTACGGCTAAGCTTATTTTTTTTACCATAGCAGGCACATTTCTTTACATTTGAAACTTACCAAAATAGTGAATTAAGTCAGGTTCTGCACTTTTCAGTGTCTTTTTGTGGAGCGGGCCCAAAAGTAAACTTTCAGTTTTGTGCACCTGCTTTCTTTCCCGCTGCCAAAACTACTTGTTTTTTTTCATAGAAATACTATTTTAATTGTAAATTTGTTTTTATTTTTTTAATGTATTTTGGTGTTTTATGTTTTTCAATTTTTAATGAAGATATTTTGAGGTTTTATGCATTTTTGCCTTACCACGAAGTGAAAACTGAATTAATTGAATGAGAATCTATCACTTTTGAAATTCGAGGAAATATGTTTAAATGAAATGCAGCAAAAAAATGCGTATAGTTTAATATTCCGTACAAGGAAGCCATTTGGTGTCCGCATCAGATTTTGTATTCTGATATTTAGCAGGCTTCTATCCCACTCTTACCTTAGCCTCACGGATACCCTTGAAGGGTCTCAGACTTGAAAGTCCGTTTACTTGTGAATGATCTTTGGGGATGGGACATAAAGAAATAAGAGAAAGAAAGCACTTTGTGTCGGTGTATCGTTACTGTCTTCTTGATTGTGAAAGTTCTAAAAAACTAGGTGATTAGTTCTACGAAGCGTGACAAATCCAGTATTTCCTTCCGGTCACATGTTCATATCTAATAGCAACAAAAATTCAACTTCTAGATCCGGAAAACACAAATAAATACTCAAAATATGCATCTGACTTATCAATTTAACGCTGAAACCTAACCGTCAGCTGGCGGAAGACTTTGAAAAAGTAAGCAACATGGCTTGTGTTACGTGCATGTTTTAGGTAAAAAGCAGCAAAGGGCCTGATTTCAGCATTCCTATCGAGAATCTTATGGACTAGAACACTTGCAAAGTCCGTAGGGTTATTGTGAAATGCGTTTCCAAAGTACTCCTTGTTTAACAATTTTATGTGGCGTAAGTGCTAGGAACGTGATATTTAATAAATAAAATTAACACACGAAACGTTAATAATAAAAAGAGAAATAAGAATTTGTAACCGTTACCAGGAGCCAGTGCAACATCAGAGTAGTAGACTGCGAGAAGTTCAGCGAGAGAGTAAAAATTAAGCGAGAGCGTAACACGTATGGGCGACGTGAGAGTAACACGTATGAGCGTAACACGTATGGGATCTGAAAATTTTCAAAACATGTTTTAAGGTAAGCTTTTAAGGATAAGTTAAGCTTTTCCTTATATGTACTAAAATACTATAAGATGTGTGTTAAAATTGTGCTTTTATTTAACTTTCTGCTGCAGGTTGATCGAAAAAATAATAGTAAAACTAATAAAAAGCAATACAATAATTATATGTAATAAACTGTACCACTGTTACGCTCTGCAAATTGCGTATTATGGAAATATATATGCAATTACTAATTTCCCTGAACTGTCACGGGCTATACGTGCACTTACGACAGCTAGTGGTTCAGGTTCTCCATCAAATGTGATACTGTGATGTTGACCAGCTTTTTCAGCCTTGTAAAGGATGAATTAATTGCCGAGACTTATAGCATAAGATAACGTTAACCATATCAAGAAAATTTTCAAGAAAATTCAGGCACTTGATTTACACTAGTTATAAATTTCAAAACATGATGTCTGGTTTCGAGGTTTACAGGAATACGCCAAACCACTCGAGGGACCATGCATAAACGGATGGATGACATCATAAGCGGCTTTCTAAGAAAAAAAATGGCTCATATTTGCATCGAATATGTGAAAAATAAAAACATTAAAGCAATCTGCCCCTTCATCAGCATTTGAGGTTAGAGTAGATTGAAGGGCGCCCTTGTGTTATTGCGAAGTTGATGTTTTATTTATCGCAAAGTTGTTGCTTCATTTATCGCCAGGTTGTTGTTTCATTTATGGTAACCTGAGTAGTTGAATGTTATAGAAACCCAATTATGACGTAATCGGTTGCGTAATGGGAGATTTGCAAGGGCTTGTGGTGTGTGTTGGTTAGGAAGAACATTGCTTGTTTTGTGGTTTAGACGGTAGAATGGCTGAATGTGGTAAGATTAACTTGAAGTTTCTGTATGATTTGGAACGAAAGAGGAAAAAAAGCATTGATTGACTGGTGCATAAATGAAGGTTTACTTAGTAGCCATTATTAGTGTCCAGTTTGTAGAAAGGAAATGCTTACGGTCGAACGTCGGAGGATATCTGCACTACGGAGGATGTTTTTGACTCTTATTTTTGTGAATTTATGTGGCAACGCCAGTATACAGATTCTAGTTCAGATAATTTTAAGAAGGTTTTTGGATGCTGTTAAGAAATTTTGTTTGAACGAATTTGTTTCACCAGCAAATTTCTAAATAAGGTAAGTGGATATTTCCTTTATGCAGTCCTAAGATGAATTTCTTTTTTATGTTATTTGGTTGTTTAATTTAAAATGCAGTTTATTGAGATTATATATTTTTTGTTGGCTGCTCCTTTGACTTTTTAAGTGAAAATAGATCGATGTGTGCATAGACAAAGTCAAGCGAGTGCGCAATGTCAAGTTTCTGCAACTTCTCTGATGTTTTTAAGTGAAAATAGGTCGAGTGAATGCAAAAGTAGGAAGTCGAACGTCAAGTTTGTGCAACTCTCTGATGTTTTTTTAAGTGAAAATAGGTCGATGTGTACATGGATAATGTCCAAAAATATCGCCGCTACACAAAGACAAAATAACAAGTCAAAGAATTGCACAAACTTTATCCATGTATCGCCAAGGAGAACCCGTAAATATATTTTTATCGCATTTGAAAGTTAACTTAATTTACTATCTATCTGATGTGAGGGATGCTTTAGTGGATGGCTTTGTAAGGGAAGCTGACTCATGTTTACTCTACGTATGTGAAAAACCACAAAACTTGAACCCGGGTCGAACTAAAGTATTCAACTCTCATATTGCTCGACCGCTCGAGTGCGTCTTTGTATGGTGAAATAGCTCATTTTCCTCTGTAGATGGGTTGGTTTGGTTTTATGAGATAACAGTAAAGCTTCAAGGGCTATCTGGCTAAGGGAAGGGATGCCTTCTTGGAGGATTTTCTAAAGGAAACTAGCTCCTTTACACGTTAAACATGGCGAAAGCCACGAAACCGCCCATGCAGCCAGCCCCTTCGCAGGATCCGAAACTCGGACTGAACTACCAGAAGAAAAGATATAACATCAGAAAAATGTTATTACAAAGTACATTACATTACTGTCAAGTATAAGATATTTTGAAATGATTACTAACCTACAAACCAGCCAAACATTAGCACTTTCACTGGTAATAGCTTCTTATTTACTCCACTGCAGACTGCCATTTTGCTTCAGAAATGGAAAAAGAAGTGATTTTAATACACGAAAAATTGCGCAGAATCCATGCATAATATTTGTTACTTTCATTTTTTTAAAATAATAAATAACTTTTTAAACAGCTGACTTACTTAGCTAAAAAAAGCAACGATGAATGTCGTTTAGTCCACTGGTTGGAGCGATTTCAAAAATCGCCACCTTTGGTGCGTTTTCTGCACTGTCTCTTTTAGGTATAATTCTGAAGAGACGCAAGCACGTAAGAAATATAAACCGAA